AAGAATCTAGAAACAAACTAAGCAGTTGATAACAGGTCAGTTGCAGGTGATAAAAGAGATTTTAGATGGGACATTACTTCTTTTTCCACACCTGGCAGAACCACACTGTATCCTTTGCATTTGTCTTTAAGGACTGGTATGTTTGTTCATAAACATATGGCATAAACAATACATCACTATTTGAATTCCAAGGATACAATGCATTTTTAAAGATAGTCACCATATGCCATAGATTCTTCACTGGAAAAATATTGATGTTAGATTTTTTTATTTTAATTTAAACAATAAAGGCTGACTTATGCCTAACTGAAGTTTACCACTAAAATATAGTGGGACTTGAAAAACAAAGCTATTTTATTCACTATTGTTTGGATATTTAATATTGGAGGGGTTTCAGAATCAAGTGTGTAAAGTACTCTTGAATTAATCTTTTTTTTTAAATGCCCCACAAAGTTATGACAACTGTTTTAGAGTAACTGATAATATTCAAGTATTATCAGTATCTGATAGTAAGAAACTAAAGAGTGACAGCATTCACACTTTTCAGGAGAAGCTAAAAATATCTGGCAATTAAATACCCTAAATTTTCATCAAGCCATTATTTTTAATAACTGTGGAGACTCTAAGAGGCCAGATTTTTATCTAGCTAGCAATTGAGGTGTCCAGTGCTCATTTTATGTTGTGAGTAAATTTTAATCATATTAATTATAGCTGTCCTGAAATTTACACAGGACATAATTGTATATTTTCTTCCTAAAAATAGATTCTATGGACTCTAGTGTGGGCTGTTGACCCCAGGCAAATGCTAAAAAAAATGCTGTATAGTTATTGTTTTTTAGATTATTATGCATTTTGAAGCTAAGACAGATGTACAAAAAGATGCAGTTTTTATTTTGTATTGGCAGCTTCCAAATATTTAGTATCTATTTCCAAGAACTGCAATTAGTAAAGCATCCATGGTACTGAAATCCACACATCCCACAAGCTAATTATATTTGCAAGGTCAGATTGAATACATATTTTCAGAAAAATAAAGGGTTATATAAATGTGTCTTCTACTTGGCTGTTATATCACAGTTTGTTGATCTGGAGTATAATGTGTACAATTCACAAATTTGTCTGATAACAGAAAGTGGTGTGTGATTGTGTTTATTTTACTAACCAGTATATTCACAGCAATCACTTCCAAATATCTCTCCAGTAAAGATGTGTTAATTACAAAACAGACAAGGTCTTCTATTATATTAAAGCTACTAACAAGAAGACAGCAGGAATCACACATGTAAATAGCATCATCAACCCCTATTTTAGTCCTCTGTTTTGATCTGTGAGTTGCGCATAGACCAAAGGTGCTATTAAAGACTCAGTATATGAAATAGGCAGCATTATATGAACAAAATTTATTCAACAAGAAAACAGACCTTTAACATGAATTTAACAAGCCTGAGAAATTATAAACTCTCATATGCTGCAGATTCATGCAGTGATAATAAACAAAAAAGGAAAGTAAGAGGTTTCCTTAAGCTAGCCAAACTGCTAATGGTTTTGTTATAAGCTGTCTGCTGTTGAAATGACCTCTGAAAAGTCTGGAGACACTTACACAGGGAAAAATTAAATGGTCAGAGTGGTGAAAGAGTTGCACTATGGAAGTGCATTTAAAAAAAATTACCTTCAAATTTCTGGAAAGCATCCCAATAACATAGACTTCTGGTTAACTTTTTAATGCCTTTTTAGGAAAGGAATTTAGCATGAAGCTTGGAAACAAATTTTTACTAGAAGAATACATGCTGTATTATATAGGTAATTTAAGTACAATGAAAGCTTAAATTTTTTGGTTGGGAAATACTGACATTTTACAACAAAAATCTAAGCAACGGAGTGGTGGTTCGTGCTGGGTTTAATTAATCCCTAGAAGTTCTTTGTTCAAAATACTGTGTCTAAAGTTTCCATCATAGAATAGGGGGTGACCATGTTTCTGTCATCAGTCTGCATCATTCTGTACTTCGAAATACACAAACATAGAGACGAGACTTTAACTTGTACACACCTCCAAGTGCTCACTGGGGCTTTTTTCTTGGATCTTACTGTGGCATAATTAACACCTACTTCACCCATTGCTCATTAGTACACTGGACATTAATGAGTCTATTTATTTTTATGTAATCCTCTAAAGGCAGGACTGATTTATGCTCACTGTGAAAAAAGCAACTACATTTCATAGAAATGAATATGTAGAATTTATTGTGGTATTTATGTTTTTATTATGTATTAGGTCTAAATTTAGCCTCCAGGTTGCTGAGCATGTTAGTTTCTTTAAGATGGTTGCTATAGTGATAGCAGCAAATTCCTTTAATCTTAGTGTAGTTAAAGTATTTAGTTACTATTGGTCATCAGAGTGCAACTAAGATGAAAAATAGCATTTGCAAATCTACTTTTTGTACCCCTCTGAGATTGTAGGAATTGCAATTTTATCCCTTTCAAAAGCATAATATTTGGTATTTGTGATTTCAGATTTTCATACTGCTTTCTGTTAGATTTATATTTGTTCTACTTAGGAAATACTTGCATGTCATTCCTTCAGGAGGAGAAATAGAGAGTGCAGTGTATTCCCATGCTGCTTATACCCAAAACACAATGAGAGTTAGTTAAGAATTAGTCAGAATTAAGATGTTTGAGCAATATTCAGTATCACTCATAACTAATTCAGGAACTTGTTCTTATATTTTAATGTGAAATTTAACTAATCTGAAAACTCTAACCAAAATGTTGAATTTTCTTGTAAAAAAAGTTTAATAATATTTTTATTTTACATGGCTCAAGCCCCAAAACAAATCTATGCTGGACAACGCCATTCTTTCTGGATAAGCTCAACATTGTCTAGTAAAGTTCTCAGTTAAATTCAGGTCTAGAAGCAGGGCTGTTAGTAAGCTATAAAGCAACTCCTTGTCATTCTGGTATACTTCCAAGTTCATGTTTCTTGCTCCTCAGGGTAAATTTTTGCTTGCTTAGGTTTTTTTCCATTATCTAGCTAGTCTCTGGAGAACTGCTGGTGTGCTTTTTTTGGTGGTGTTTTTTTGTTTGTTTTTTTTTTTGCCTTGCTTTGCTTGACTTTTTAATTTATACTGCCTGTTTGTTATGGTTGGGCATTTCCAGATGTTGAAAAATTAGAGCATCTGGTTAAAATGGAATACAAAGATACATACAAAAGCTTGTCACAAGTGTTCTAAGATAGAGAAAAATTGTAAAAAATGAAACAACCCAATTACTTCTTATTTTTTGAGAAGTAATGTATAGATATGTAATGATTGTTTTAAGTATTTTTGAGAATTATTCTAAATGTAATTCCTTTTTCTGTAGCATTGCCATCAGATAGTGTACTTCTGCTGCATTCTAAATCTGAATTGTGGGGTTTTTTTGTCAAGAAAAAAAAATCACCGGTAACTCACTATAATTGGGTCACAACTGAACATTGTTAATAAAGAAGATCTTTTTTGGAAGGATTTCTGCAAGCAGTTTGAAAACATGGCATATGCAGGTGGATCTGGCCAGCAGCTGAGAGACCAAGCAATAGCCCTTAGTGGCACTCAGTCAACACCACTGTCTCACTTGGGTCTCAAAAGTAAATCACAACTGATGATAAGTTTGTGGGTTTTTTCTGTTTACACCTGATTTTTTCGTTGTTGTTGTTATAAATACTTGCCAGTTAATTTCATTTCCACATGAAGGACCTCAATGTTTTTTCTTCTAATCCTAAAAACTACACATTATTTAGTTATTAATATTTGTGTAAATGGAGAGGAAAATGCTGGAACAAGGTGGGAGACTGTATCACTTTCTCTGCAGATTTCAGTGACAGTGGTTGATTTCTTGTTTGTTCGGCATAAACAAGGTTCAAATCTAATTCCTCAAAATATCAAACCAGCCATGTAAATGCTTCTGTTGTCCAACTCACAGAGAAGAAAAGAATAAAAATTATTATAGAAAAGCTGTTAAAAGGAGATTTAAGTTAATAACTCTCCAAAGATATGCAGACAAGATGCCTGCAAAGTCTGCCTGGTACTGTTTTAGTGGATGTGCAAGGCTGTACCTGCACTGGTCCAGTTAAAAGACTGGAACCTAAACAAGAATTATTCTTGCAGTTACAAACCTGTGCTGGTCAGCACACAGTAAGAGTGGATTTGAGTGTATTGTTGGTAGGTTCTTAGGTCTGGCTCAGCTCCTATAGGTTTTGGACAGGAGTGAGGGTTTTATTGCATGGGACCATGAATTTCTCTTTGCAAAAATTTTTATAGACAAATTTAGCACAGGACAGAGTAAGAATCAGTGATGGGTTTACATTATTTGCAATCAAATAGCACTGAATACTGCCTACCGTGTACCTTTAAATCATAAATGACCTTGGTTTTCTTTTACTCTATTTTTTACTCCTGAGCATGACACTGACAAGGACTTTTTAATCCATCAGACAGTTTATAGACCCTTTCGTAGTCACAAGAAGCAAAAAGCATCTGACTAGAAGGGAATACATGGGGCAAGTTCCTTGCTGGCTATAATTTTGTTGTCATTTCAAGTATTGTGGTAGTATAATTGATGTGACAGGACTGGGCTTTAGACTTGGTCCCTTAGCTTGTGCTCACTTTCAGTTTTAGTCTCTCTCTGTCATTCATTTTGATTGGATAAGATTTAGGTGACAAACATATGCATAGTTTTGAGGCTTAGAGTAAGTGCACATAAAATTCAATATTATATGGTGATATAATGTATATAAAACTTACAGTTCCATGGAAAAGGTAATAATTGGTGTCACCTTACAATACAAGGCAGTGTAGTGTGCTGATCACATAGCCAGCAGGAGGTTCTTTTTTATTAATATTATAATTAAATGATTTTCTGGATAAAGGCCAAAAACAGATGAGAGTTGATTGTGCCTTGTCCACTGTTGCTTGGCTCTATTAGTTGCATTTTCTAAAAAGAATTGACTTGACATCTTGTTTTTACAGGTTGTTATTGATGCCTTCAGATTGATCAATGCTAATATGATGGTCTTAGGACATGAACCACGACAAACAACTTCAAATCTGGGTCACCTAAACAAGCCATCTATCCAGGTAAACCTAGTGCTGCTAGTCCTGTAAATTGCAAGATTTATTTATCAATTTTTGGGAAAGGTCCTTAAAACAGTAGGTTACAAATTATTTATTGTTCTCCCTGTTGCATTTTTCCACATGCATTTATAATTGATGTGATTCATCAATGGACATGTGTATGTGAGGGGTTTAAAATTGAGCCCTAAATTAGCTACCCAAGGGTGAATGCATGTATTTAATGTGTACAGCAAAGACTGAAGTATAAATTATGGAAATGCAAACTTTTTAAAGTGACAATAGATGACATAACATGTGATGCAAGACAAGTGCTGTTTTCAGTCCTGCTGAAAAACTGCTGCTTATCAACATCTCATCTTTCTTCAAGTTACAAATAAATTATGGAAAAAGTTCTCTCTTTTCTTTTTACTGTAAGTTTCTACAAGTTCTTACTCATTATGTAATCTAGATTAAACCTTGTGTCTTAAATAATTAATCCTCGATTTTTATGTAATGCAGTAATTTGCTGAAAAAATGGTGGAGGAGGATATTCAATGGATAAAATGGATGCTTGATTGGCTTCTGCTGTAATGTTTCTTTTGAATACTCATTTGTGAAACTTAAATATTCAGAATTTGATTTCTGAAGTTGACTTTCGCTAAAAAACCAACGCTTGCTTCACTGAAGCAAGCCTTGATTTTGAGAAATAGCCTCTATCCTGAAACAAGTATCCTCTGGAGTGATTAATGCTTTTATCCCTGTCATTCTTCTTCCTCGCTGTTTCTTCCTTTAAAAACTCTTCCCCCTTACTATGGATTCTAAAGGCATGTGTCCTTGAAACCATGGAGCCCAGTTCCTGCTTTTGTTTCCATTACTTGAACAATAGAAGTAATATCTTGCTAGGTAAACATCCAAGAAAAAAGACCGTCCACTAGTCAGAGCAGAACTGAAATAATGGCTGAATTTGTGCTCTGAGAGAGCCATTCTTTGAGAGGTCCTAGATCACCATACGCTTATCTGGTGAAAGATAAGTTGTTTTTTTTTTTTTACTACTACATTGAAACTCTTTGCTGTTAATAAAAATGCTAGCAAAAAGGCATCTTAAAATTAAAGAGTATCTGCTTCAGGCTGTGTTTTACTTTTGATTTTTGAATTGGTCAAAACTGCAGACAATAATGAGTATGAAATATGCAGCTAATACTCTTGATTGGATGTAGACAAGCCCATGCTTGCATGTTTCAGGGCTTTTCTAACTGAGCTTTTCTAGACCATGTGTAATGCTTTCCCTTGGAAACCCCTACAGTATTGTTCAGCTTCATTATTTTAAGATCACTGTCGCTACAGCGTGGCATATTTTGGCCATGGGGTTTTGGGTTTCTGTTATTAAAATGGATAGTTTTTGTTTGTGTTGATTTTTTGCAAGCTGGCAATGAGCTGTTGCAAATGTCACTGTTATGATAAAAATCATAATTTTAAATGGTACTCTGTTTCTAAAGCTGCAAGAGCTCTTGCAGTGTTGTTTTACTTTTATTTTAAGCCTTGAATAAAATTCTGACCCAGTTGAGGACAGAAGCAAACTAAATACTGATTTCAGCTGGGCTAGAAGCAGGAATTACTTAGAAGACCTTACTTAAAATCTCAGGAAGAAGAATAATAGAGTAGTACATGCCCTGGCTTCACTCCCTTTTTGTGCATTTTTTTTCTTGAGTTCCCTTATCAACAGCCTTTTTTACAGTTGTTTTTACCTTTTACATTTGCCCACTCTTTTAAAGGGTAGTTTCTGGAAGGGGGAAGGAAAGGGAGAGGATAGTGGGAGAAGTCAAACCTGTTTGTCAAACTTTAAGAACTTGAGGAAACTTCCTAAATATCTACACATGAGTTTATACACAAACACCAAAACCTCATATGCAGTCATTTTGAGTGGGATAAGAAAATGGCAGTGGAAATTACTTACAGTTAATAGTTTAAACTATAAATTCTGTTATTGATAATAAAATCTGTATTTTACAAGCTTAATTAAAATAAGTTGCACAAGTAATGGTTTTATGTAAGTGCTAATTCTCGTAACTTTTCAAGTAATTTTTTATCCTTGTATATGTGTTTGCAATAGAAGTCTATTTAAAATGTATGTATGAAAACATTTTCAGCTTTCATAGAGATAATTCTGTAATGCTGAAATATTAAGTTGCACAGGATGCAAATACACATTCATTTTGTGTAGCTGTAAATATATATTAAATTTAAATAGATGGAATGCTTGAAACAGAAGATTTATCACTAATTCAGCATATTTATGTATGATTTATTCTATCTTGTTCATAAATGTAAACTTCATATGTGAAATTCTATTTGAAAATAGACTCTATTAGTTGTGATGAGGATTGATCAAAGAATTTTACCTCCCCAAATATTAATACAATTCACCCTTAAGTCATAAATGTAAAAGGAAATGTCTAATGCAAGTGAGCAAAACAGAAAATACATGCATACAGCTACCACTAAAACTAATCTCAGTTGATCAGATTGTATTTGCAGAGGGCATACTTGTAGTGAAAAAGGTGGGAGTTTTTTCCTTCATTTACAGTTAAAAAATAAAATTAGTGTCAGTATCCAAGGTTAATTTGATACACATTGTCTAACTGAGGTTTTTGCTTGCTTCAGTTAATCCCTCTTCATGTTGTACCCTGGAGAATTAACTTGGGGATGTTGACAGTGGTTATAAATAAATAGATAGCAAATAGTCTTTTGTTAGTAACAGAATATTTTAATAGGAGTGATAACCAAATTTATTGAGAGAGGAAGGATTTGAGAGAAATATGTTTGTGCATATGTATCGGTCAAATGTTTGAAGGCAGTTACCATTTTTTCTTATTATAGTTGCTACTGTGTGAAAAAAAATATCTGTGGTTTAGAAATAGAAAAACATAACTGTCAGTTAATGAACACAAAAAGAGAAATAGAACCAGGTATATTTACTTCATATCTCCTGGTAATTTCTGCATTTTTTTCTTGGTGTTTTTCCCTTTATTTGAGTCATCTTGAGGTGTTTATATTGAAATGAGCTTTCCCCTTCTGATATTTCTTCATTTCAGCGGTGGGTGATTTTAATTCAATTTCTCCCCTAAATTTGCAGGCACTAATCCATGGACTAAACAGACATTACTATTCCATCACCATCAACTACAGGAAGAATGAACTAGAACAGAAGGTAATTGTTTCAGCTTTAATTCAGAGTACCACAAGCATTATACAAAATGTTGTGGCAATATTCTGATTTCAATGGCTGTTACTTTCAGAAATTGTTTAAACTCTCCCAGAATAGGTGGCTTCTCTTCCAGAAAGCACTTGAATGAACAGTCATTGTGATAAAACTTTCCAAAACCACATTCTAATGACCATATTAATAGTTTGACAACATTTTTGTCCACCTCATTGAAAGTTGTCATTCTGTTCTCTGTACCTAAGTTTGTGCAAAGTTTCAAGTTTTCAGTGATGACACTGAAAGACATACTAGCTGCCTTCAGTTTTCACAGGCTGGAATTCCTGAAGCTAGGAGAAATTTTAACTGTGTTTTCCAAAATGGAATATATAACCAAGGGATGTTGGGTTTTTCCTTGCTGTGATCACTTTGACAGAAGGTACTTCCAGTTGGTATGATTGCAACTCCCCAAGACGTCACTGAATATCAGGAAGTAGTGATGTCCTGCATTTACAAGAAGAAATATTTTGGAGTTACTGGCAACAAACATATTCTGCTACTTTTGCATCAAATGTCTTCAGGTTACATGCAAAATCTAGCTTGAGAGTCTCAACCAGGAAAACAAAAAGGAAGGAACAAAGCTTATGTATCATCTACAGAAATTAATTCTTGAAAAGCCAGATTCTGTCCTCTGTATATGTTCTCTGATATGTCTGTGCATTTTCATGGCCTTTTTAGGGTTATAAATTGATATCAAAGCTTATGATGAAATGATCAGAATAGTTTTTTACAGAATTCAGACTTTCTGAGTAATAAGAAAATAAGAAAATAGTAATAGTAATAAGAAAAAAACCCCAGTTTTAAATAGTGGAGGAATATGTGTGCAAATTAAGGAGTTGGAAAGAATGTGTGAAATGCACAACCATTTTTAGTGCAGTATCAGACTTCCAAGACCTCACTGTTACTGAAATGAGTAACTGATTGAACATAACCAGCTCTCTCAGGAAATGTCCATGAGGCTTCCAGGGGGTTATTGTTTCCAGTCAAATGCAACAATTGGCCAAATCCAGTCTTGTCTGAAGTTCCAAGTGTGTATTTTCATCAATGGCTTTATAAAAGTGAGATATTACCTTTGCAAGTAGGAGAATAATCTTGACCAAGTTAGAAAGACTTTAATCTGTGAGGTAACAACTCTCTCTCACATCTTTCATGAGGCAGCTTCATACATATCTCAAACCCCCCTCATGATGGTGGTGATCTGTTATCTCCATCTGTAGTAACAAAAGTACATGCTTCATGTATTAGATTAGGAGCTCATCACACCAAACCTTAATTTTAAAATCAAGATAGCCTAGCTAAACTGTCCATATGCAGTTTGCCTACGACTCCTTCTGTCAGCAGCTAAGATCTTGCTAACACAAATTATGACACAAACTTTCTTCTCAGTTCACATGTTCCAAAGCTAGGTTGCTTTGGAAGCTCTACAGAGGATGAAACAGGTACTTTTATTCAGGTGATAGCAATTACAGGGATTACCAGTTCTCATAAATGTCTAGTAAATGTTCACAAATTGAAGGCAAGCTGAAACTGTTTGCTGAAGGGGTCCTCCCTATAGTCATCAAGTGTGCAGGAGATCCACAAAATACACTTCCTTTATTCATGAAAATAAAGAAATTGCTATTGTAGCTGTTCCTTTGCTCTTTCAAGATGACATGAAAGTGTCAAGTAAAACCTTTCAAATATATGTATTAGTGCCTGCCTTTATCACCATCAAATCTCTGCACATTTTATCCTATGTTTTTTATGCTTGCTTATTCTTTATGAGGCAAAGACACACAAGTCATGCTTTGGTCACTTTCAAAGTCTGTTTTACTGTCAGTTGCTTGCATACAGATCAGATAATCAGTGAAGCCTGTGTAACTACTTTATGAATTTAATCCAAGCATTAAAATCTTTTTCAACTTCATCAGAGGCCAAAAGCTTCAGCTATTCAACTATATAGCGGCTAAAGTATTCAATTTTATCTTAGCTCTGCTACAAGGCAATTGTGCATTCTTAACCTGCAGCAAAAGTAACAAATCACAGAAAACAAATTATGTATTCCTGTCAAAGTTAATGTGACCCATGTTTTCATGCCTCATTTTCATATTTAGGATTCAAGAAGTTCGATCTTTTAAAAGTATGCAAATCTATCTTCTACTGTAGTAGAGCACTCTAGTAGTTTATCATTGTATTTCCTTTATTTAAACACTGACATTTTAAGATCTATTTTTTTAAATATTCTTCTTACTATAAATCAGTTGGCTGTCAAAGAGATCTTCATAGTATTCTGAAAGTATTTTGTGGTGAATGCTCTAAAGAGGTTTTGTTTTGCAGATGCTGCTAAATTTGCATAAGAAGAGTTGGATGGAAGGTTTGACACTTCAGGACTACAGTGAACATTGCAAACTCAATGAAACAGTAGTGAAGGAGATGTTAGAATTAGCTAAGAATTATAACAAGGTATTCATATCCCATAATGATAGTATAAGTGTAGCTGTGTTTATGAAGTGAAGAAATTAGTTACCGAATTTCAGAACAAATTGGTTATCACAAGCTTTGTTCAGAATGACTGTAGTTTGTACTAATCAGCTAGGTATGGTTTCTGTGGGAAGTTGCCAGATTAGCTCCTCAGGCACTGCCACCAGACTTTTGCCCTAAACTTTTGTCAAAGTGTTGAGTTACATGCTTTGCTTTGAAATGTGAGTAATCATAATGATGTTGTGTTTTTACTTACTGACAAGAATATAAGATTTCTGTAGATCAAAATGAGCAGTCAAATTTTTCAATCCTTCAGTCAAGGATTGTTTGATCACTGTGGCAGAGTAAAGGTTATTTATCTGTGTCAGTCTAGTAGATAGGCTATAAGTATTTAGAATGCATTCCAGAGCCCAATTCAATGTTCTGTTTAGATATTTGTTATTGGTGAAGAAGAAATTTGTTATTGGTGTTGTAAGAGGGATCACAGCTGCTTGTACTGTTTTAATACTGACACACTTAGAAATATTTCTTACAAATACTAGATCTCAACAAGCATTCTATGAGTAGTAATCATGTCAGTATTTCTTAACAAGTGTTATTTTTTTAACTCCTCAGAAGTCCTTACAACCAAAATTCAGTATCACATTCACTAGTTAAGTTAGTGGATGAACTTCATGAAGACACTGTATTTGAAGGCAACATAACAGTATCAAAATATATTAAAATAAATTACTTTAAACAGTACAAAAAATGAGATCAAATCTCCAGTAGTTGAAACCATATAGAAATGCTGGGTTCAGTTCCATTATTTTAACTGCTTTCAACTATCTTTAACTATTGATACTGCTCATTTAAGATTTTTGCTTACTAACATTTTGGTGAATGTGTGACAATAAAACCATTCATAAGTATTTGCCTTGATCTTTTGCACTAACACTCAGTAATTAAAACCACGTCTGCTGAAAACCTGAAGTACCTTTCCTTTTGACTTTCTGAAATGTGTTGCTGTTTGATTTTTTTTTTCCTTTTTTTTTTTAAGGAACGGAATTGTATTTTGAGAATCTGTGGCTTGGGAGAAAAGTAAATGAAATCTGAAACACTGACCTTTTCTGTGTTTCTTTCACAGGCTGTTGAAGAAGAAGATAAGATGACACCTGAACAGCTGGCAATAAAAAATGTTGGCAAGCAGGTGAGGTGTGATGAATTAGAGTGAGGTGGAATGATATGCTTCGTTCATTCTAAATACTAATTCTTTACATGTGCGGAGGTGATTTTAGTTCTACATGTATGATATTCTCAGTGCTTCAAATGATAAATTTATTTTTGTTGGAGGTCATGCAATGAACAGGTCTTTGACTGTAGGTAATTGGCAGAATGTCTGCAAGCCGTGTTCTATATGTGTTTTTATTACATGCTGAGGAACAGTGTTGAAATTTAGTAGTTTTCCCTTTTCCATCTTCATTTGTTTTAACTTCTACTAAGAGGCATAAAGATATCCAAGTCTGTGTCAGAGAGACCCAAACTGTGGAGACACTTAAAAATGGTGATCATGGAAACAGAGGTGAGGGTGGTGTGTTTGTACATTATCATGGTCATTGTCATGTAAAGAGCCAGCTCACCCCTGTCTTCAGTTCATGAACACACTGTCAGTGCTTAGCTCTCAGACACACTTGGGAGGTAGGCTCAGTTCCTTTGTATTGGTGTTTGAGGAAAACTGTTTAGGACCACAGCTGAAACTGAAAACACCCACTCAATTCATTCCATCCCTTTGCAATGTTAGGATATAATGTCTTCTTGAAGACTCAACAAAAAACTATTTCTACATTTGATTTGAGGAAGGTTGAGGAAATGTGCTCTTCTGAGCAAGGGGAGAGCAAAGGAAATTTTTAAGAGCTTGTGTTCAAGAAGGGCAATGAAAACAAGAAAGAGCTTTTAAAATATCAAGTGTGTCCTTAAAGAACCAGTACTTATTGTATTGCTAGTAGCAGTAGCAGAATTTAAAATATTCTGGATTGCTCTTATGTGTCAGCTTCTAGCAGCAATGTCATAACACATCTGCACTATTGTTCAGTCACTCATGTATTTCTGTAGCATTCAGAACAATGGAGTTTATGCACACCTACACATACATAAATATATACATATAAGTATGTAAGAAGAGTTGTATTTTAAGGGTTATGATGTCATCTCAAACAGAACCTGAGCTTCGCTAGTTGTTACGCATACGTGAAAAAACTCTATTTTGGAGCAGTTCTTCAAAAGGAAAAGAATTTTTTTCCTGATAGAATGTTTAAGTTGCTTTTAAATTAAAAAAAAATGGTTCAGTGAAGTAATTTTCAAGTGGAATTTTTTATGCAACTTAGATTAAAAGCTTTGTAAACAAGCAGCCACTCACACTATAGGGATATTATGTTACTGGGTGTATAATTTGTTAGGAACCGAAAGAATGTTGGAGAACGGTCTAAACTTTGAAAAGGAGTTATTTAAGAAGGGCAGCATACACAGATTCAGTAGCACTCTTCTATATAAATTTAGATGGGTTCATTACATTTTGACATAATTCCATCTTTAAAGAAGTTACAATTCCCATGCATTATTGTCTTCCATATTTTAATTTCTTTACACACAAGAATTACTACAATAATACTATAATAAAGTTTAGACATCTTTTTGAGGTATGCCTGATATTTTTGCAGTATTTGGAGATTAATTATTTCATCATCAGTGGTGAAACTGAAGAAGTGCATGGGTATGATTTTCAACCAGAAATAATCTTATTGTTGCATGCAGATGCCCACAAATGCCTACATCAGTTGAGTAATAGTGTGTAAAAATATGTATTTTCAGAAAACTGCTCAGGCTTAACATTCAATTCTTAAGAGCATTTGACAGGGCATTGTTCATGTTTCTATGGGTATGGATACACTCATTTTCTTGCAGTCAATGCAACTATTCAAAGACTGCGTTAGATGATGCCTGAATCTTCACAGGATTAGAACACACATTTGCAAAGATCTGAAAACAAATTGCAACATACCAGAACTAAGATTAAAATATTGGCCTTAGTGAGATGTATAGAAAAATTCACATGTTGTGTGTTGTCCTTAAAACTAACTCAACAGCTGCCACAGTTACTCTTGATATGCTGGATAGAAATTTACTTCCTAAGCCTATCCTCAACTTAACTGTTAGTACAAATTAATAAAATTTTGTTTGTGGGAATTCAGTCATTTGCTAGGTCTTCCTAGAATGGAAAATTTAGGAGCATTACTGGCCTGTGTTCATTAACTCACAGACATCTTAAATAGACTTGAAGTAAATGAAATATTTCAGAGACGTGTTTCAGTCATCCCTCTCATGGCATCCTTTGTATTTCAGGACCCTAAACGTCATTTAGAAGAGCATGTGGATGTGCTGATGACCTCAAACATTGTCCAGTGTTTAGCTGCTATGTTGGATACGGTTGTATTTAAATAACTGATTTACCATTGGTGATACTTTCTGTGTATATTTGTTTATTGTTTCTAATACAAAACAGAGACTGTTGAGGCTCTATTTGATTAAACGGGGACATCTGACTTCATTTGCAATGTAAGTGCAGCACTATAACACCTCTCAGTCTCTAATTGTGCATTTGCTTCAGTTTCTTTATGTCAAGGTCCTCACAGATTCCAAAGCATTCAAGAACACAATGTGGGGAAAAAATTGAGTACCTTTTCATTTAATATTTGGGGGGGGAGGGGGGGGAAATCAATAATACATATATATTTTGATTGTTGCAACATAATAAAAATACATTTACAAATCTGTCTTAAGTTCTGGACAGTGTTTTTTGAGAAAGGACAGCGGGAATTAACAAACTAGAAAAAGTGTTAGTAAACATTCATTTTCCCCCACTGTAAAACTACTGAGATACTAATTGCTAGGAAAGCAAAAATTCTCTACTGGAATTTGGCTCCCATTGATTGCCAGTTACTCTCATGGAGATTAAAACAAAAAAATCATAGTGCTGAATTCTGAGGATGTAGAAAACCAAAAATGCTGAAAATTCCTCTGTCAGTTCCCTTTGAATATTATTCAAACCCTAATATCTACACAAGACAACTGACCTTAAGAAAATTAATTCAGTTGCTGGTAACTGAATCACAGAACTCTCACAAGCGGTGTCATAAATAGCAGTATTCTGAGAATAAACATTAAAGTGACAGAGGCTGTTCTAGGTTACATGAACCCACCCTCCTGTGAGAGAACATACATGAGATGTCCATATATATAAATATGTGGAAAGAGTCCCAACTAGAATATGACATTTTAAACCATTTCTACTGACTGGAGAGGGAAACACTTGCAGGAAGGCAGGTGGGTTGCTTGGTTTGAAGCAGGCAAAGCCAAATATCTGGGTTTGGAGAGTGACTCTGGGTTTTGGGAAGGGACTGATTGGAATTTTTCGTTAGGGTTCTTTTTTTCAAGTGTTGGATGTTGCTTATGGTGATTTGATTATTTTGTCTGGGCAGAAGTTTTCTTTTTCTCTTTACTGTTGGTTTGGGGCTTTTTTTAATAAAGAGCAACAGTAGTGGCAGGCTATCTGCAAAACTATCTCTTGTTGAAGATAATTTTTTTAAAATTCACTTCTTATTTGCATACTAAGGAAATAACACTTAAATTGTCTTATTTTCTGGCTTATGCCCATATTTACTTACACTTTACCATTCAAAGATTTTTCTTTTGTTTGAAATTTCTTATTGAGGCCTTTTAATTTACTATTTTAGACTAACTCTCTCTCAAAGTATATTTAGCGTGCACTTACTTCAGAGGGAAACATGCAGATTTTTGCAGCTGCCCTCCTTATGGCCTTCCCTCTGCCCCCACAGTAGGCAGTGGAATATCAGACTGGGAAAATGGAGACATACCAAACCACATTTGCCTGCGTGTAGTTAAATGGAAGTTCTTTCTGGAGATTGCCACTGCAAACCTGCGGGTGGTTGAGGAGGGCTGCAGTCAGGCCTCGCATTGCCGGCTGCGCGCCCGGGGTGAGACGGGGCAGGAGCTGATCGAGGAACCTGCCCTGGGGCTCGTCTGCCAGGGGGGCTCTGCATCCCTGCCGCTCTCTACTCCCACACACACGTGTAACACCACGAGGGAGACAGAGTTTGGCAGGTCGTGGGTAACATGGCACTGCAGAACAGGAGAGGAGCTAGCGCAGTGCTGCAGTGTATACATGCGTGAGAGGCTGGTGTAAGCAGGGAGACAAACCAGTGAGTCTTACATATTCTAAATTAATTTTGACAAATGTACATCTTGCAGAGGGTAGCTGAAGGGAGTCTGTTGGAGACGCAGATCTCCCGTAGTATAAGCTTGTGCTGTGGTACCCTGCTTTCTATTCACTCCTCAGTTTAACTTGGAGACACAATTTTCCATTTACCAAGATGTTACATGAATAATAAAAAGGCAGGTTTTTGGGGCATCCTTCCTTATTTTTGTCCAGCGCTTCAAGAGCTACACAGCGGATTTGGAAGAATTATGTGTATGCCGTAACCTGAAAAGCAGCAGCCCATATATGATGTTGGAGGAAGAAAGAGATTTTCAAGCAGCCACCTTCTGAGCCTCCAGCCGCAATGGAGCAGACCTTCATTAGCAGCATGACCCCTTGTCACCTGTCAGCGTGAAGGACGGGCATATTGTATTAGCAAACCTCACTCCATTCTATGACGATTCTGTAACACCACCTGCCATATCCCCCCTATTATACCAGTTTAGGAGTTGTGCACTGAAGATTTTTGGCATATATTAGCACTTCCATGTGATTGGCAGTATACCACTGAATTCATTGCAGCTCTGCATCTATATGGCTGTAGCTCTGCAATTCAGGGCAGCGTTTCCGAGGGTTTATCTGCATTTCGGTCCATCTCCTGCCTGTATAAGTCCATTAATGTTCTGTTGTTGCAAACAGGGAAAGGGAAGGGTGAGCACTGGTGAAACAAGTGTTGGAAACATTAGTTAGAACTGATAATAATGAAACCGTTTTCTTAACACTGAGAGAAGGTGTGTATGGAAAGTTGCATGTGCTGAACCACTCGAGTAGAACAGTGAACTGCTTGCTTTTTGCTTCATAAATTGTCTTATTAGAATAATTTCCTTGCAGAGAGTGCGTGTATGTCGGCATCTATGAAACACCAAATAACCAAAGTAGTTCACGGTTAAGAAACAGAAAAATAAATGGCCACGGGATTTGAAAGCAGTGAAATACACATTCTGTCAAGTCATCCTGGTTCTAGTCTTCTCTGGATTTGAGTTTGCAAAGTTTCAGTCCGGCTTCAGGCAGTTATGCCGTGGTTCGGTTTATTATGTGGTGGTTCAGGCTGCATTACCTGTCAGTGAAATTTGAAGCTGGCTGCTGATGTCACCTGGGAAGAGATGTGGTCTGTAAAATACCTGAAGTCCAAACCACTACGGGGACAACACTAAGAAAAATGGAACAGGAGAGCTCCTGCCCGGTCAAAAAAACCCAAACCCCAAACGCACAAAAAAGCCGAAAAACAAACCCCATGCTTTTAAATTCTCGGGCAGGCTTCCCTAGGAAGAGAAACTGAGACTGGTGCTTGGCCAAGGCGGGGTGGCGAGCGGGCCCCCTGAACTCTTCAGGCTCATCCTTGCACCTTGGAGGGTCCCGCTCTCAATAGCGGGGGGCTCGGCCGCGCACCCTGCGGGACCCGCGGCCGGTCCCTGCGGTCACCGGGAGCCCCCGCCCGCCTGGGAGCGCAGCCCGGGCCGCGGAGACCCCCCTGGGCAGAGGGTGCCGGCGGCTCCTGCCGCAGCACCATCGAGGTTTGGGTTTCTCAGCTCCGATCGACCCCGCGGCCGGGGCGGGCCGCGGCCCCTGGCAAGGGCGCTGCCAGAAATCTGCCCCTCCCGAGAGCTGCCCGCGGGACTGAGTCACTGAGGGAAAGCAGGCACCGAGAGGAAAGAAATCCGGAGACGGATGGGGAGGTGGACGCCTTCCACGCTGTTTTGCTGATAATCTCAGGCATTACGGCTCCCAGATAAAATATTTATTTACTAAAGAACCCGTAAACATCGCGGCAAATACATTAGGGCACTTCGGCTGCGGGGCTTATGATTATTTCAGAAGTTAAAAGAGATGATACGCGGCCACTGTCAGCGGGGACGGAGGGTGTATTTTCCCCCGCGAAACAGGCACGGGTGGGAAGGGTGGGGGCGATGCGCCGGGGATCGCTCAGAAGAGCTGGGGGAGAGGGACTGCGCCCCGCTGGGGACAAACCGCGGGGGTGAGCTGAGGGCAGCGGCCGCCGAGCCCCGCGCTCCCCTCGCCATCGCTCCCCAAAGCGCCCAGGACCCGCTCTTCTCCCTGACGCACAAAGGTGGGGTACACGCGCGCAATATTTGGGGAATCGCAGGGTTCGGATTTATTTTGCAGCCGTAGTCAAAAAAAAAGCAAAAAAAAAAAAAGCTAGAAAGGTCACACAATAATGAGCTCTCACAGCAAACACACTATTCCCTTCCCCCTTTCCCTTCCTTCTATCTCACAATAAAATCATCTCCTTCAATTTGCCATGATCGTCGCGACCAGGAGCCAGGTGATTATCCTAATTAATGTCTATCTAATTAAATTACTGTCAGCGGTTAACCAATGGCAGAAGCCGTTTCATCCTCTCCACAAGCAGCAAGATCAAAAGTGAGTCTTTCCTGATTGCTGCATAGTGTCAATTGGCCAATCTCTTCTCCCTGGGAAGGGAGGAAAAAAAAAAAAAAAAAAAAAAAAAAAAAAAAAAAAAAAAAAAAAAAGTAAATCAAACGTTTGGGAAGCATTTGGTAGATGAAGTGCTTTCTGCCTAGTGTGGGTCCCAGGATGTCTAGCTTCTGATACTAGGAAGCCCTTTCAGATCCAGGGACTGAAGGGTTATTACTGTGGTGCTAGAGCTATGCAGCTGGAGCATTGTCTTTCTCCCTCTATCATGCTCTCCAAGAAATTTCTCAATGTGAGCAGCAGTTACCCACATGCAGGCGGATCTGAGCTTGCCTTGCATGATCATCCCATTATCTCGACCACTGACAACCTGGAGAGAAGTTCACCTTTGAAAAAAATTACCAGGGGGATGACGAATCAGTCAGATACAGACAATTTTCCTGACTCCAAGGACACACCAGGGGACGTCCAGAGAAATAAACTCTCTCCCGTCTTGGACGGGGTCTCTGAGCTTCGTCACAGTTTCGATGGATCTGCTGCAGATCGCTATCTGCTCTCTCAGTCCAGCCAGCCCCAGTCTGCTGCCTCTGCTCCTAGTACCATGTTCCCTTATCCCAGCCAGCATGGACCTGCTCACCCAGCCTTCTCCATCGCCAGCCCCAGCCGCTACATGGCTCATCATCCTGTGATCACCAACGGAGCTTATAACAGCCTCCTGTCCAACTCTTCTCCGCAAGGCTACCCCACGGCGGGCTACCCGTACCCCCAGCAGTATGGCCATTCCTACCAAGGGGCACCTTTCTACCAGTTCTCCTCCACCCAGCCGGGGCTGGTTCCCGGCAAGGCTCAGGTCTACCTGTGCAACAGGCCACTCTGGCTGAAATTTCACCGGCACCAGACGGAGATGATCATCACGAAGCAGGGAAGGTAAGCCACCACGCGGACCTTTCTGGGTGTCGGGGCTGAGCCGCGGACTTCGCCGGGGGAGCCGCCCGGAGCCTCCGCCGCCCCGGCGGAGCCGTCCCCCATCACCGG